GGTCTGGAGATGGCAAGTCAGCGCTACTCAGCCAGTCTGTCTCATCTGTTCTGGGTCATCATGTTGTGGGGTCGACAGGTGGATAAATTTAGACCATGTCACACATTGTTTTTGCTTTTTTAAAACACATTTATAATTGGACTGAATACTTGAAAACATTTAAAAAGCATAAAATAGACCAAATCCATGACTTAGACTGTTTTGTTCTGCTGGTTTTTCTCAGAATTTACAAAATACAAAGAATTGCCATAGTAAAAAATAAGCAAGTACATACGAATTCGAGCCGGAGGAGCTTTCCAGATTTCCTAATCTCACAGCCCTAGAAGAATAAAACAGCAATCCTAAACATATCTTTTTTTTAGTAAGACAAGAGTGGCAACTTCATGTTTGTTTTACACTTTGGGGGCATTTTACATTCCACTCTGCTGAAGGGGACTTGGGGGAATAAAATAGAAAAGATTTTGGAATCTTTAATACTCCCTGTAGAATCATGTTATTTAGCTCACTGCCACAGCTTGTGGAGTATTTCAGCACTTCTAATTCTGGTTTGGAAAGCTTTAACCTCCCCCCCAAAAAACTTGCTAGCAGCTGTAGGCAATAACTGACGTCTTTATATAAGTTGTACATGATCAACATATATAACTGGGCCGAGTTCTTTATTGTGGCCTGGTGCTTTCAGAGGCTTCCTTTCTAGTAGGCAGTGTTTAATCACAAACCAGCCCCCAGAGGGTAGCACTTTTAGCTGTCTTGGTCACAAACAGAGCCAGGACACTGGTTCAAACCAAGGGGCTTCTTTCAGGGCTTGGGGATCCAGAGCCATGCTCCACCAGCCCTTATTTCCAAAACAAACAGGGGATTTAGCTGCTTTTGACCTTCAGGACCATGTACCATAGAACCATCAGGTCATACTCCTGACCCCTGAGTCAAAGACACATCACATGTAGACACACTGATCATATTGAAAAAGGAAAAGGCCATCTGGATCTGGGGAAAGGAGCTCTTTTTCCTGAGCTGATGATTGCATTTTATAAACACATGATATTGGCAAGACATTCTTTCCAGTTTACAGAAAGGGATGTCCCATGTCCAACCAGAGCAAGACAAGAGGACAATGAGTATTTAGAGGGACAAGATGGATTGTGAAAATTGGCTGGAGCAGAAAATGGGGGGGGGAAAGACCAGCTGTGAAGTGAGATACAGGCATACATACAGACATGTGAGTGTGTTTGTGTGAGTACACATGCTGTATGACTCTGTGTATACATGTGTACACGTATGACCTCTCACCTGGGTATCTTCTAGGGTGTGTGAGGTTTCACTGATGTAGATGTTCTGTGGCAGTCGGGTGACCAACTCGTCCTGGTCTGCCTGGGACTATCCCAGTTTTAGCAGCTGAAGAAGATGATCCAGATGAAATTCAAACCTGAGTGTACAGGGTCTAATTGCATATGTATTTATTGTCCCATTATTCATAGTTAGCTGGCTGGAGTTTATCCAGGTCACTTTATGTGCTAATGTTTTAGGGATTGCATGCCTGGCAACAATGTTTTTTTTTACTATCAGATTAAAAAAAAAACAGCTGAATTTGGACTTGGCAAACTGAAATAAACAGGGAGAAAGAGAAGTGAAAAGGGATAGTAAGGTGAGAGGAAGAAAGGGAATGGCTGGGGAATGGGGGAAGGCCCCAAGCCCTGTCGAGAAAGTCCCAGCAATGTCACTAAGCCAGCATGAGCCCAACTGCAGGAACCAAGAATCTGTTCTGGAAATCCTTTTTAGTTGGATTCAAGATTTTTTTTTCCCCCGCAATTACAATTTTCTTCCAAAACTCGGCATATAGATGAAGATGGTCTTTCAATCCCAAATGTTGTTTTTTCCATCTTCCAGCTGGAGTTGAGGTAATATTGTGATATTCAAACAGAAACAGAAGCTGCATTTTTTTGTGTTTTGTAGCACAGTTACCATAAATTGGACTACAGTGAGTAATCTTTTAATCAGATGGAAAGAGGCATTTCAACTATGCCTGTAGTCATCTGAGAGTATTTAACAACTTTTTTGAAAAATAAAGTTAAAGTTGGTGATATTGGGGGCTTTGGTAATCTGTTTAAGAGATGCAATTTTAAACTTTTTACTTTGAATAATGTAAATGTATTTTATAAATAGAATATATTTATTGTGAATAAAAATAGGACAATAGAAAGTATTCATGCGATCTATTTTCCAGCTAACTAAAATGTTGCATATCCTTTTAGTTTCTCTTTTTTTTTTTTGAGTTGGAGTCTCACTCTGTCACCCAGACTGGAGTGCAGTGGCTGCTCCCGGCCACCGCAGCCTCGACCTGCTGGGCTCCGGTGATCTTTCAGCCTCAGCCTTCCAAGTAGCTGGAACTACAGGCGCGCGCTACCAAGCCCGACTAATTGTTTTTTGATTTATTGTAGAGATGAGATCTCGCTAAGTTGCACAGGCAGATCTCGAACCCACGGGCTCAGGCAATCCACTCACCTCAGCCCCCCAAAGCGCTGGGATTATAGGCTGAGCCACCAAGCCTGGCTATCCTTTTAGTTTTTCAAAAGTGTATGCACGTACACTTTAAAATGCGCACATGCATACAAATGGCATCACTCCACATATACAATTTTGTGAATAGATTATTTTTGAAAGTGTGTTCTTTTTTGCTATTTGAGATTACTTCAGGTATTGCAGCATGCTTTTATTTATTTATTTATTTATTTGAGTTGGAGTCTCACTTTGTAACCCAGACTGGAGGGCAGTGGCACACTCATCACAGCCTTGATCTGCTGGGCTCAGGCAATCCTTCTGCCTCAGCCTTCCAAGTAGCTGGAACTACAGGCACGTGCCACCATGCCCAGCTAATTTTTTGATTTATTGTAGAGATGAAGTCTCGCCAAGTTGCCCAGGCTGGTCTTGAACCCGAGGACTCAGGAAATCCTCTTACCTTGGCATCTCAAAGAGCTGGGATTATAGGCATTAGCCACTGGGCCCAGCCTTACTGCAGCATTTCTAATACAGGACATGAGCCCTTACCTCCAACTGGTAGATTCATGCCCAACTGGGTTTTTGGTGGGTTGGGAAGCTGTTGGGTGTGATGTAAGCAAAATTCTATGGACCGCACAAGTCAAAAACTCTCAGAAGGTCGGGCACGGTGGCTCACACCTGTAATCCCAGCACTTTGGGAGGCAGAGATGAGAGGGTTGCCTGAGCCCCCAGAGGTTTGAGACCAGCCTGGACAACTTGGTGAAACCTTGTCTCTACAATAAACCAAAAACTTAACCAGGCGTGGTGGCACATGCCTATAATTTTAACTATTTGGAAGGCTGAGGCTGAAGGATTGCCTGAGTTCAGCAAGTAGAGGCTGCAGTGGCCGTGAGTGTGCTACTGCACTCTAGCCCTGGCACCAGAGTGAGACTCTGACTCAAAGAAAAAAATTTAAAAAGCTCTCAAAAGAGTATTCTCAGGCCTTAGTGGTGACTGCATGCTGGCTCTTTTTGCTTCACTTGTCTCCTCTTTCCCCACCAAATGGAGCCCTACCTAGGAGCCTTTCTAATTCTGCAGTGGTATTGTGGCCAGGGAATCCTAAGCATCTTTTTATCTACTTTCCTGATAGGAGCCAGGTGGGAACAGTTGCCAGAGCATGGCGCCTCCTCAATCCCTGAGACAGGTAAACACATCGCAGGCAGAAGGCCGGAGTCCATCTCTCTAGTCACTCTTCATCTTTCCCTTTTCCCAGGGCCATGTGTCCCATGGGGTGTCATTCTGTTTTTCGTGGACTGTTTCTCCATTTGTTCTTTTTTCCCAGGGTGACCCCGGCCTTCTTGAACTGAATGTGACACCAACCTTTTAGAAACTCTCCACCATACCCTTCCGTGCAGGTCTGGCAGTTTGAGCCAAGAACTGTGAGACATGGGGCTCTGGGGGACATCCTTGTCCCCACCAGGGATGGCTTTGTATAGGCCAGTTGGGAGAACTGGTGTTTGCTTCTAGGGTTCTTGCTTTGTGCCCGCGGAGACTGCTGCACATTGGGTCAGCGCTTCTGTTGCTTGTGCTCTCAGAATTATTCCTGCAGGTATCTGTAGGGCATGATGACTACATGGGTTCTGGGTCATGTCCCAGTTCTGCCTTCACCAGCTGTGTGATCTTGACCTCTTTGAGAGTCAGTTTCCTCAAATGTGCAGTGGGTATAACAGTGATGCCTACTACATATAGTTGTTGTGAAAATGAAGTAAGACAACACGTGTACGTCACTTTGCAGATGATCTGGGATACAATCTGGATTCAGTATGAATACATTCCCATGTAAGCAAGACATCCTCCACCTCCTAAGGCTATTCGACATTAGGCACATTGAAATGGTATACCCAAGGAACTTGGGCTGTTTGAAATATGGAGGAAAAGTTGCTAGCTAGGAGTGGCAGTTAGCCTAAAATGAGGCTCAAGGCAATGAATTCCAACTATCCACACTCCCTTACCCTGTGATCTCCCACTGACTGACTGCATGTTGTCCCAGACTGTGAGGAAGACTCTTTAAGTGGTGTTTGAAATAAGAGGCGGCCTGCAAACACAGGAGTTGTGTTCTTTCCTCTGTTGTCTTTTGTGCAGTTACCTTTGCTTATGGGGTCAGGTACCTGAAACTCTGCTTCTTGCTCCTATTCCTTCCAAACATCTGTAAACCAGTTCTCCACACCGCCTCGTGTGTGTGTGTGTGTGTGTGTGTGTGTGTGTCTGGCACCAGTTCACAGCCTGCAGCAGTGCTGCTAGCTGTCTTATTTCTGTAGGTTTTATTTCCATCGTGGGAGTGTGTGTGGAAACGCCCTCCTCGCCTCCCACAGGCCTATCCTGGTTCTAAGGTCCCCACCCTCTTCTGACTGTGCTGTCTAAACCCCCACACCCTCCTTTTTTCTTACTACCTTTTAGATTCTCCAACCTAATTGTCACAGTGCCTCTGGGAACAGCAGGACAAAGTGAGGCAAAACAATATGGTATGAATGACCAAAAAAGTGGTGTGGCTTTCAGAAACCCGAGTTCCAGAAGCCGCTGGTGCCAGCATTCGGAACGTTTTTGATTTGATGGAATCTTCAGCCATAGCAACTAGTTCCTCCAGGCCATTCAGTTGTGGAAACAGCAGCGGGACCTCCACGCTACATAGGGTCGGTGCTGTGTGTGTTTGTTCCAGTAAATAGGCCTTCTTCTTTGTTTTTTGTTTTTGTTTTTGGCACTGATCTATTTTAAAGTTTTTGAGTATGAGATTACAAATTACAGCAGGCCTTCTCAACATTCTGACTGAGAACCCTAAGTTTTTCTGTTTTATATTCTCCCAGATCCCTGATTTTCTTTTTTCCATGGAAAACGTTTTAAGTCGAGGGACTACAGTTGCCACCACAGCATGTCCCAGACTATGTTTTCCAGAATAGCTATCTGTGCCACTCACCTGCAGATGAGGCTGAATGAACTGTTGACTACATGTTGTTCTAAGGCAAGTAGACAAAAAGAAATTGATTGTACCGTTCCCTTATAGAACATTGCAGCTTATACTTCCCCAAATGCCTCTGCATATATTTTCTCGTTTAAGCAATGAATGACTTTATGAAACAGAATAGTTGTTTTTAACCCCCCTTTAGGCAGTTGAGAAAATAAATTAGAAGGGGTTATTCATTCATTCAAGAGAATAATTGACCATCAACTATGTGCCCTGCACAGTTATAGGCACAGGGGTATAAAAATGCACCACACAAACTTCTTACACTCATGAAATGTGCAGTCTAGTGGGGGAAATAGACACTATATTAATAAATTCAACATAATGTCAGGTAACGACAAGTGCTGTGGGGATCAAAAGAGCAGGCATTTTAAGGGGGTAGAGTATAACCAAGTATGCTGTTAGTTGTCAAGGGTTTTCTCCAGGGAGATAACATCTGAGCAGAGAGATGTGAGAAGTGAGAGAGAGAGCTGTATGGCTGTCTGGGGGTAAGAGCATCTTCACTGAGAAATAGCAGGTGCAAGGATCCTGTGGCAGGAGCCTGGTTGGGGACTTTACAGCACTGCCCTACAGAAAAGCTTCTCCAGTGCTGTCAAGTGAGAACAAGTCAGGACTTAAATTTGGTTGGACTTGGTGTACCACCCTAATGATTTTGAAAAGATTTTTGCTCTGAGAGAGGAGGGCATTTGAAGGTTACATGTGGGGAATGATATCATCTGATTTATGTTTTAAAAGAATCATTCTGGGCTGGGCTTGGTGGCTCAGTCTGTAATCCTAGGACTATGGGAGGCCGAGGTGAGTGGATTTCCTGAACCCGTGGGTTCGAGATCCGCCCAGGCAACTTGGCAAGACCTCGTCTCTACAGTAAATCAAAAAAAAAAAAATTAGCTGGGCGTGGTAGCGCATGCCTGTAGTTCCAGCTACTTGGAAGGCTGAGGCGGAAGGATCGCCGGAGCCCAGCAGGTTGAGGTTGCGGTGGCTGGGAGTGTGCCACTGCACTCCAGTCTGGGTGACAGTGATACTCCAACTCAAAAAAGAAAAAATAATAAAAGAATCATTCTGGCTGCTGTGTAGATCATAGGCTGTGGAGACAAAGCAGAATCCAAAAGTCATATAAGGTGGCTGTCACAATAGTTCAGATAACAGATGGTGACAGTTCAGTTCACAGTGGTGGCGGTCGAGGTGGTGAGAAGACCTGGGCTCTGATAGATTTGAGGATGGAGCTGGCAGGATTTGCTGTTGTTGCTGAGGTAGGGCCAAGGAAGACTCAAGGCTCAGAAGAATTCAAGGAGTGGTAGAATAACGATGTGGCCGGCTAAAGGCAGGCCCAGACTTCCTGACTGGCCCAGAGCTCCCTGTGATCGTCCCAGAACGTTTTGAGCAAGGGTCAGTAAGTAGCAGAGGTTCTCATCTGGCTTGGCACCTTCTTACTGAGGCCACTGTGGGTCTTCTAAGAAGTGACTCTCTGTCTCCCTCTACCAGCCTGCTTTTGACCATGGACATTTATTGATCCTTTCTGACTGGTAAACAGTGGAAAGAGGAAGTTGGTCAATTATTGTTGTGTCATCCTTTAGCTTATCTCAAGGACATTGGTGAGGAGCTGAAAATTCAGTTAAATAGCAAGATACTATTCAGTCTATTTGTCGTATTTAACTATTTTTATTTTTATTTTTTTCTGAGTTGGAGTCTCACTCTGTCGCCCAGACTGGAGTGCAGTGGCTGCTCCCGGCCACCGCAGCCTCGACCTGCTGGGCTCCCGCGATCCTTCTGCCTCAGCCTTCCGAGTAGCCGGAATTATAGGCATGTGCTACCACGCCCGGCTGATTTTTTGATTTATTGTAGAGATGAGGTCTCACCACCCAGGTGGGTCTCAAACCCACGGGCTCAGGCAATCCACTCACCTCAGGCACAGGATTACAGGCTGAGCCACCGAGCCCGGCTCTGTCATATTTTTAAAAAGCACCTTAAGGGGCAGGGCGTGGTGGCTCATGCCTATAATCCCAGCATGTTGGGAGGCTGAGGGGGGAAGATTGCTTGAGCCTAGGAGTTTGAGACCAGCCTAAGCAACATAGCGAGATCTCATCTCTACAAAAAAAATTAACTGGGCATGGTGGTGTACACCTGTAGTCCCAGCTACTTGGGAGGCTGAGGTGGAAGGATCACATGAGCCCAGGAGGTCAAGGCTGCAGTGAGCTGTGATTGTGCCACTATACCCTAGCCTGGGTGACAGAATGAGGCCCTGATACAACAAATAAATAAATGCACATTAAGGATCCTTAAAATTATTTTATGTGCAAATGTGAACTAAATAGAAGTGATTTGATAATCCCAAAAACTTATTAGTAGAACTTGTAGATAATAGATATTCGGGATTTGTTGCATTTGTGACTTATGACTGAATATTGACTAAGGAGCATCCCTAGGGATGATGTGGTCTTCGAGTATCCTGTGGGTTGCATCCATGATCCTCCTGGAATATGTGGCGGTGCCTGAGGGTGGTTGGTGGCTGTAGCACTGTGTTCTGCATCAAGCTCTCTATATTTCCAAATCTGGTTGGGTGAACTTCTCTACTTGGCTCAAGAGGCCTCTAAGGGATCAGCTACCTGTCCTCTTACTCAACAGGTCACTCCTAGTTAAGTCAAATCCTTTCTTTATAGGTTTCACATTCACTTTCCCTTGTTCTTACTATCCTCTGTGGCAATCATCTTTGATGTATTATCTCCCAGGTGGCTTCCTAATCCCCAGGATGAAGCAGAGGTCAGAGTGCACATGGGATCAAATGCTAGGAGGGGCTCCTGGAAATACCTTTTGTCAGCCTGGGATTGACCTGAGGGCCAGTTACTTCATTCGTGATTTATGCTGGACTCCTTACTGCCAACTTCTAGACATTGAGGTTTATACAGAGAAAAATTAAAATTCAGACCATCTATTGCACTGATTGCTAATTGCTTTGGTGGAAGATTTTGTGGGAAAAATACGAATGGTCAAAGGTAGTTTGAATAATTCCCAGTGACTTATTTTCACTCTTATGTGACTGCTTATTTCCAATACTAGACAAGAAGAGAAGGCAGGGTAGAACACCTGATGCAGGTGGATCAGGAGGGCCGCACAGGGGTGTCAGATGTGCAGGGCCACATCATCACCTGTATGGGAGTTCACTCTTGTGTGCCTGTGTATCCACAGCCGTGCAGTCTGTTCTTTGCATCTTTTCTTTTCCTTTCCTCCCTCCCTCCCTTGCTTCCTCCATCCTTTCCTCCTTTCTCTCTCTCACCCTCTCTCTCTTTCTAGTTGGGGTCTCATTCTGTGGCCCAGGCTGGAGTGTAGTGGCACAGTCATGGCCCAGACCTCCTGAACACAGGCGATCCTCCCACCTCAGCCTCCCAAGTAGCTGGAACCACAGGTGTGTACCATGCCTGGCTAACTTTTTGTATAAGGGAGGTCTCTCTACGTGGCCCTGGCTATTCTCAAACTCTTGGGCTCAAGCAATCCTCCTGCCTCGGCTTCCCAAAGTGCTGGTATTACAGGCATGAGCCACCATGCGTGGTGATCCTTTCTTAATAAATACTCTGCTGTCTGGCTTTGGGGGGGGGGCGGGGGTAGTCATTGGCATCCCCAGACAGATCCCTCTCCATTTCTCTCCTCTCTTCTTTTTGCCCCATGAGCTATGACTTTGCATCATTTCAGTGCCCAAATGAGACTGGAATGTTTGTCCACATAAATCACAGCCCAGCGTTGAGCTGGAAACCAAGGGCAGTTGTCCTCAGGGGCTTTCTGCTCATCTTTACAGCTTTCTTCCCTTTTCCCCCAGACCTGTGGAAAGGCCTATTTGCTGATCTCATCAATCTGTGATTTCAGATTTTGAAAGAACCAAGATCTTGTGACTTGGCAGGGGGAGCCACCCACCATGTGGACTTCCCCCACTCCCCCACTGTGCGGACCTGCTGTGCTTGGGGAAAACAGAATGTTAAGTGAGCAGTTTAGCTTGGACTTAATCCGGAGGCAAATCAGTAACTTTACACTGAGATACTCTCTCCATTGTGTTCTCAGGAAAATGAAGTGAATCACCGGAGCAAAGAATGTGCTCTCTGGTGCTACACCAATAATAAAGCACGATGTTTTGAATTAGAGGAGGGAGAGAGAGAGGGTAACTGAAAAAGCCTTGGCTGGTCACTGTGTTGTTCCCCTGGCCTCCCCTTCCCCTCCATCAGATATATGCTTGGATAAGAATTTTCTTCTCTAGCCTGGTTTTTCCTAAACTCAATCCTGTAGTAAAATGACAAGGCCATGTTAGACATGGAAATTACTGCAGAGCAACAAATCCAAGATGATTATTTCACGGAAGGCCCCAGGAATTGGAGATGAAGAACTGGTGAGAGCCTATGCCTCCAACTCAACCCAAATATGTTTTTCTTGCCCCTCTTGCTAATTAGTAAATCAAGACCAAATGAAAAATACAAATAAGTGCATGCCACAAATCTGTCACACTTGAATGTTTCTCAGCTTATTTCTGTCTTTCTGACTCTATCCTATCATTGTCGTTTGTGAGTAAAAGCACCTTGAAAGATTGGAGTTAGCTTGGGTCTTATAAATACAACTGCCTAAGAAATGACTCAGAAGTTACATGGTTTGTTTGTTTTTTTAAAAACAGAATGGCTGGGTGTAGTAGCTCACACCTGTCAATCCTAGCACTATGGGAAACTGAGGCAGAAGGATCACTTGAGCCTAGGAGTTCTAGATCAGCCTGGGCATCATAGTGAGACCTCGTCTCTACAAAATAAAAAATAAAAAATTCAGCTGGGCGTGGTGGCGTGTGCCTGTAGTCCCACCTACTCACTTGGGAGGTTGAAGCAGAAGGATTGCCCAAGCCCAGGAGGTGGAGGCTGTAGTGAACCATAATCATGCCACTGCACTCCAGTATGGGTGACAGGTGAGACTCGACTTAAAAAAAAATGCAATTAAAAAAAAAAAATTGCCGGGCTCGGTGGCTCAGCCTGTAATCCCGCGCCTTTGGGAGGCTGAGGTGAGTGGATTGCCTGAGCCCGTGGGTTCGAGACCCGCCTGGGCAGCAAGACCTCATCTCTACAATAAATCAAAAAATCAGCTGGGCGTGGTAGCACATGCCTGTAATTCCGGCTACTCGGAAGGCTGAGGCGGAAGGATCGCCGGAGCCCAGCAGGTCGAGGCTGCGGTGGCCGGGAGCGGCCACTGCACTCCAGTCTGGGCGACAGAGTGAGACTCCAACTCAAAAAAAAAATAAAAAAAAAAATAAAAATAAAAATAAAAAAAAAATTGAGGCCGGGCTCAGTGGCTCAGCCTGTAATCCCGCGCCTTTGGGAGGCTGAGGTGAGTGGATTGCCTGAGCCCGCGGGTTCGAGACCCACCTGGGCAGCGAGACCTCATCTCTACAATAAATCAAAAAATCAGCCGGGCGTGGTAGCGCATGCCTGTAGTTCCAGCTACTTGGAAGGCTGAGGCGGAAGATCATCAGAGCCCAGGGGGTCGAGGCTGCGGTGGCTGGGAGCCGCCACTGCACTCCAGTCTGGGCGACAGAGTGAGACTCCAACTCAAAAAAAAAAAAAAAATTAAGAACAGAAAGATGGGAGCAACCAGGCACTATTTTCCCACTCTTTGCAAGCCTCTTTTAGGTGTTTTCTGCTTTTGCTTTTTTTCAAATCATACATTCAAATGCTCAATCCTGGTGAGTCTTCGGTATTTTTGTCATTTAGGAAGCATTGCCTATTCAGATACACTCTTAGAATCAAAGAGGGCTCAACACACCAGCACAGTTGTTGCTCAAAAGGGACCAGGAGTCCTTCTTGCCCCAGAAAAGGAAAGATATTCTCCAAGAACAGTCTTGGGAGAAGCATTTTGTTGTTTTTGCAAGGATGTGCGGATCCAAGTTTTGTCTATTAAAGGAAAGGAATGGCCCGGTTCTGTTTGTGTGTTCGGAGCACACGACTGTGCGACAGAAACATCCATGCACCTCGTGGTGGTATTTTTCCATTCTCTTGTTTAGAACTCCTGGGCATAGACACATGTCCTGCACACAGCTCGGCATCTGTGATCCCGTCGTGGTTTAGAACCGACATCTTGATTCTAAACCAAGGAAAGGTTCAAGTGTCTATCCCTTGCTGCTTCTGGGTGGGTCATTCACTCATTCAACCAATTCTTACTGGTCACCTGTTGTGGGCAGTAGAGTTTTGGGCATTTGGAGTATTCCCTGTCCTTGTGGGGCGTGCCTTGGAAGAGAGTTTAGCCCTCAGCAGGAGCTTGCCTGTGTGTTCTTTTTCACTGGCTGCTGTTTGGGTGTTGTTGAGGTGAAGGGTGCAGATGCCTCCAATTAGGGATGCAGGCTGATTGTGGCTGCCCAGGGCTTGGGCCAACTGAGAACCATCACGTGGACCAGGGGTTGGACAGGACCACGAGAAAGGACTCTCCCCATGTTCTTGTGTCTAGCAAACTCGGTGCTGTTCTCCAAATAATGACAGGTCATCTGACACTGTGTAATTTGATAGGAATACGTAACCCCCCCCAACCCTGGGAACCAAAGCAAGGAATTGACCTGTCAGTTACTTTTAACTTTCAAAACTTGAATGTTTCCTTTAACCAAATAGCTCCATCATCATGGTCAGAAAGTCCACTATGGAGAAAGGCAGGACTTAGTGTTTATTTAAGCTGCCACGCGATGAGAGAAATTTACCCAATTATTCAAGGGCTGATTTTTCATCTTGTGGGTTTTTCATGCATATGTGCTCCTCCTCCTCCTTTCTTTCCCTCTCTCCCTCCCTCCTTTGTCTCCTCCCTCCAAGAATTTTATGGGAGCAGTAGAATGTATTGGCCAGGCAAGGATGTATATGGAGACAAACCTTAATAGTAGGAATCCTGACAAGTAAGGCTCTTAGTAAAAAGAAAGCATCATTTGGTGCCTTGGCAGCCCTGTTGGGTGTCTACAGAGCATTTTGGTCACAGAGTCTTCTTTGCCCACCATCACCTCGTAGATAGGTGTTACTCCCACGTGCAGAGAGGGGTCACCAGATCAGTAAACACAGGCAGATCCATGATAAATAGGCCATTGATATTATGTTCCAACACATGATAAAACGATATTATCTTCATTTGCAGATGTATGGTCACTCTGTAGAAGCTGCAGCAGACTGAGAATGGTTAAGTCACTTGGTGCAATTAAAAAGAGATAGAGCTGTCTCTTGGTCTCACATCTTCAGCTGATGGTCCTATTCTTTCCTTCATACTAGACTCCTGGCTTTTAAGACGGAGACTGTAGCCTTTTGATTAGGGCTCCTTGCTTTGCACCTTTCCCAGCATTTCTTCTGGCAAGAAGCTCTTTCTCTCTCATCCGTGCTCAGTCTTCATCCTCCTGCCCACCTTCCCACGATGTTTCCCTCCAAGGTATCCCTTTTCTCTTTTGGTTATTATTCTGCAACCTTGCCGAGTTCTTCTTCTTTTTGTCCCTCTGTGTCTCCTCTGGCTTAGCCTTGTTTCTGATCAGACTCAGCAAATGTTCACTGCAAGCCGACTGTGTGCCAGGTACTGTGCTGGGCTCATCACTCAGTACTCATTGCTTCTGCAGCCTCTTTCTGCTCCCACGTCCTGAATAGTGAGCCCAGGGGAGAGGGTGCTGAGCAAATCCCCTTGTGTTTGGGGCAGACTGAATAAACTCTGATAGACAATTATCAGCCCTCCAGTGTGACCTCTGGGGAATCGGTGGCTGAGAAGGAGAGATGAAGAGGAAGAGCAAGAGAGAGAGCGGCATATACCCCACAGAATAGAAAACATGTGCTCAAATACAAGAACCTGTGTGTTCATAGACACTCTTCACAATAGTCAAAAGATGAAAAGAGTCCAAGTGTCCATCAACGGATGAGTGGATAAACAGAATGTTGTGTATATGCACAATGGAATATTATTCAACATAAAAAAGGTGGGAGAGTACATGTCATGTTCACCATCATATCCCCAATAGAGCTGGCTTAGTGCATGGTGCCTAAGAATGTTTGTTGAATGAATGTATGAGCCGGGACTGAGGTCTGATCTGTGCTATTGCCTAGGTTTTGTATAGTATAACCAAAGGGCATAAAGAAGCAAAATGGAACTCACTCTTCTGACCCTAGTCCTAGCAGTCTTTCTTCAAGACCCAGGAGCAGTTGCCCAAAATGTAAACAGCTAAACTGTGGAATCCGTTCAACACATCTGTCCGGTTTGTTTTTTTAAGCAGCAGCATTACTGGTCCAGAATGCTAATACACATACTGCTTTGCATTTCTAATTCAGGAGGCAAGCCCCAAGCATGTTAAATTTTAATATGCAAAGGAAAAAAATTAGTCCATTCAAATTACTTCAATCACACTCAAGCCACATCACAAGATCACTATGCATAAGAAAGACAGAATGGATTTCTAAATCACATCCTCAAATCAGAGAAATAGACCTCGGACACACTCCTCTGTCTTTCATCCTTTTTTTTTTTTTTCCCCAATTGAGGTGAAATTTACGTAGCTAAAATTAACAATTTTAAAGTGGACAATCCAGCAGCATTTAGTACATTCATAATGCTATGCATTATGTATGCTATGCATTATATATGCTTTGAGATCTATCTGATTTGAAAGAAAGCCATTGAGCAAAAGCATGCCATTTCTCTCTTTCCCCAAGCCATGGAAACTATCAATCTTGCTCTGTCTCTTTAGATTTACCTATTCTGGATGTAGGAATGGAATCATACAACATGTGATCCTTTGTAACTGGCTTCTTTCATTTAGCATCATTTTTTCCAAGTTTCATCCATGTTGTAGCAGATACTGAGTCCTCTACTGGGGGTATGAAGGTGAGCATGACCTGGCCCCTGCCAGCAGGTGAGGTAGACACCCAAACAACTGATTTAGTATAAGGTTGGAGTTCGATGCTGAAAATCTCCCTAGGACATTATGGGAACCTAGAGTTGAAGGGAGTGGTTAGGGTGGAGGAAGGCTGTTAAGAAAGGCTTTCCCAGTTGGGCTCGGTGGCTCAGCCTGTAATCCTGTGCTTTGGAAGACTGAGGTGAGTGGATTGCCTAGGGCCGTGGGTTCGAGACCCATCTGGGCAACTCGGCGAGACCTTCTCTTTACAATAACTCAAAACTAGCTGGGCGTGGTAGTGCGCACCTGTAGTTCCAGCTACTCAGAAGGCTGAGGCGGAAGGATCGCCGGAGCTCAGCAGTTCAAGGCTGCAGTGGCCGGGAGCGGCCACGGCCCTCCAGTCTGGGCCACAGAGTGAGACTCCAACTCAAAAAAAAAAAAAAAAAAAGGCTTTCTGGAATTTAATCTCAAAGGGATATCTAAAATATTGCTGCATTACTCCAATAGACTCAGTGTTTGCAGCCCCACACCCCATTCATATGTTGAGACCTATCCCCAGTGTGATGTCATCAGGAGGAGATAGGCCTTCAGGAGGTGGTTAGGTCAGGAGGGCAGAGAGCCCACTCAAATGGGATGAGTGCCCTTTCAAAAGAGGCCCCAGGGAGCTGCCAGGTGAAGACACCGTAAGGAGGCAGCTGTCCATGAACCCGGACATAGGCCTCGCCAAGTGTCGAGTCTGCCAGTGTCTTTGACTTGAACTTCCCAGCCTCCAGAACTGCGAGACATACGTTTCTGTTGCTTGTAAGCTACTCAGTCTAAGGCATTTTGTTATAGCAGCCCAAATGGACTAAGACCAGTACCAATTAAGTATTTCAAGTATATGGCTAAAGTGCTAGCAAAGGAGGAAGAGTTAAAACTGAGTGAAAATATATTTTATCTTATTTTTATTTTTTTATTTTATCTTTTATTTTTTTTGAGTTGGAGTCTCACTCCGTCGCTCAGACTGGAGTGCAGTAGCCGCTCCCGGCCACCGCAGCCTCGACCCGCCGGGCTCCGGCGATCCTCCCACCTC